TGTTAATGATTTATTGGTTTAATGGTTTATTGGTTTAATGGTTTACCTAACGTGTTTCGAGACAACCCCCATGTTTCGAAACACACAACATCACACTTGCAACTCATATTATGTAATGGAATGCATGCCGTATAACATCATGTTTGTGACGCATACTATATACTAGGATACATGTCGTACATATGTTATAAAGGAAAGTGCACGAAATGCAGCGGGGAATACCCCTCTACTCATATTTATTTATATGTATATATACATATTTCTGGGGAATTATAATGATAGATCGGTATTTAGGGTTTAGGGCCTAGGGGTGTGGGTTTTTGGTTTGGTGTGCTTTAAAGGGCTTTGGGCATACACGAAGATATATAGGGACATGTCAATGTAGTGTATGGGGCTGAAGGTTCATGTAAGCCTTGGATTCTGAAGGGGGAATGAAACAGGAAACAAAAACTACATAAACAGGCTTGAGATGGAGTGTGGATTTTGACATGCTTTCTTTAGAGTTCGCTTTTAGATTGGTTCTTGCCTCCAGCACGTGTAACCCAAGGCTATCTATAAACCCGAACACGTACTGTACATATATGGGTGGTTGTCAAAATTATGGTCCCTTTTTGGGTCCCCATTATAATACGGCACTTAATATTTAGGGTACCCAAAAAGGGACCATAATTTTGACAACCACCCATATATGACTTATGAATCTATAGAATGCCTGCTCTGGGTCCACGGGTTGAGGCTCAGGGCTTTACGGCTGGATTGGGCTAAAATCCCTAAACCCTTAACCCTAAATACAGGGGGCTAAATATCCCTAAATGAGCTATTGTCTAAACTCCTAGTATCCCCAATATTAGACTCTCCTATAGGGTCCCCTATAGAACCCCCTGTAAGGAATTTAGATTGTAGCTCATATAAAATAACCCCTGACTCGGAGCTTGGTTTTAGGGCTGCGGGTTTCTAGGTCAGGGCTCTGGGTTTGGCGGACTAAGAGTTTTTCTTTTGCGGGACCTACTCTCCAAATCTCTGGGTGTAGGGTTTAAGGTTTAAGGTTTAGGGCTTGTGTATAAAGGGCCAAACAATTGCCAATTATCCTTTTTTAGGGCTAGTTACCCGCTACCATAACTATACAAGGAATCTAGGGCCATGATGGGTCATCATTTAGGCTTCTGCATTACAGCAAGTTAAACCCCAAACCCTACACCGTCTGTCGACCCGCGCCTGTGTGATGCACCACTGGCGCTTCGCCGGCCGCTGGGAACTTGCTCGTGGCCGCCACTTGAATCAAGGATTCTTGCCCCTTAGCACGTTTAGTACGGGTTAAGAGGACGTATGGGTGTTCCCATGAATACGATATGGGGCTGCGTTTACAGACCTGAACCCTTGCTGGAGGGACTTCAAAAAAACGGCCCCTAATCCTTCGCTGGCCCCATATTGGGTCTGGGATTCCGAACCTGTGGTCCCTCTTGTACGTTCTTCAGCAGTCAGCATTATGGCCGCAAACTAAAACAATTTTGGTTGAAATCTTCCGGTTCCCAGTAGAAACTCGAAGTAAACTAGGACGTAGGACTGAAGGCCGAGGCCCATCAGCACTTTCAAATTTCAATGAAGACGGGGTCCAATCATGGCTCTTGCTTGCCACAGAAGTCGTTGAGTCGATTCCCCAGCCAAATATTAAACACTCCAAAGGCCGAATGCAAAAGTGCCTATGATGCGCAGTCAATCTGGGAATCCTACAGGGAAGCCTCCTCATTATTGGATGAGCCATTGTCTCAACTCCTAGTATCCCCCTTAATAACCCCTCTAATATTCCCCTATATAACCCCTTATATAACCCCCTTTAGGGAGTTTTGACAATAGCTCATATACCGAAAAACTTAGACATCCTTACTACAAAGCTTCCAAAGCTGGACCCCGGTTTCTGGAAACCCTAAAACCTAAACCCGGAGCCCAAACCCTAAACATCCCTAAACCCCAAACCCTCATGTTGCTGGAAAAAAAGGCGTCACCTCCTGCTTAGCAAGTGCCCGGTCCCTCACTTCCGGCTGTTTACAACGGCATTGGTGGGTTAAGTGGTAGAGTTTAGGGACAAAAAATTGGTTGGGGAGCTCAACCATCATCCTAAACCCTAAACCCCAAACTCCAAGGTTTAGGGTTTAGGGTTTAAGCTTTAGGGTTTAGGGAACCTCTCAAAAAACAACAAAGAAATCCCAAGGCGGCCTTCAGACCTTTGAAAGATCCCTCTACGACGCTCCCCTGGCCTTGAAAAGCTTCTCAATCATCAGAGATGCCATCTTCGCAAAGACCTAGAGGCCCCCTTAAGATGGATCCCACATTCTATCTACTTAAGGGGGACTAGCGATAGCCATGGCAGCATTTTGTGTAAAAGGAAGCATAGTGCTAGCGGTGGTATTGATGTGGTAGTGCTCATGGTACATAGCTGTGTGCCGGTAGCGGTAGCTGGAACTGGTACTGACAATGGGCTTGGGGAGGGGGAGTGGCAGTGCCCGTGCAAGTGGAAGTGGAAATCGTAGTCAGAGCTGTTGTCGCAGTAGCGTAATAGTGGTAGTAGTCGCCGCCGCGGCGGCAGCGGTGACGGCGGCAGCGGTAGCGGTGGCACTACATCTTCAGGTTCCTCGTGGTTTGATTCTCCATTACAACCCTGTACATTCCTCTACAACTTGCGCTGTTCACTCTCACAGTAGCTGTCCTTGAGGGGGCTTGTCAAGAGGGGGAAGACCTAACCTGAAACACCTACTGACTGCTCCGAGGCCCAAACCAACAATTAAAAGAAACTATCTAGGGGGTTTCCGTAAATGAGGAGTACCTCTTCAAGGGCTCCTAGAGTAAGCATAAGAGTATATTGGGGTCTACATTGGGGCCCCCCGCCTCATTACGGAAACTGTGTTTGGGTTTTGGGTTTAGGGAAATTAGGCTGCATGGAGGTTCTGCATGGATAAAAAGAAATTTCCCAATACAGCGGGACCCAAATATAAAGCTCAATACAGTAAAATCCTTTTTCATGATCTTATCCTTTTCATGATGTTGGGAAACTTAGGGCCCTAAGCCCTACACCCTAAACCCTAAACTTTGCTTAGGGTTCAGAACCCTAAACCCTAAGCCCTAAACCCTAAACTGGTTGAACCCTTTTTCGGGAGACCTCGATGGTCTCCGTCAGCACTTGGTCCATCTGGTTGAGGAAGCTTAGCGGGGCAGTTCTCTCCTTGGCTGCTTAGATATAGTTTAGGGTTTAGGTTTTAGGGTTTAGGGTTTAGGGTCTAAAATCCCCTGACCGTCCAACTAGGGTTCAGGGTTGACATAAGCTTAGGGTTCACAGTTATTAGCACGTTCCAAACATGCCCAGGGCTCCACACGTGGGCCCAATACACGGTGATCCTGATTCAAAAGGTACCCTTTTGATCCCAAAATTCTATGGTGAAAACCACACATAGTGACCTCTTGGAAGGTTCTGTATGAAACCCTAAACCTAAACCCTCCAGTCCATATAAACTTGCCATTACTTTGGGTCCTCAAAATCTTCAAGCTCTAAGATTTGAAGCTCCAGAATGACCCCCCCTAGATGGAATACGGCTTTGGGTACATTATAATAAGATCCCCATATACCCCATATTCTATCTACTTAAAGGGGGCCATAAGTAATTAATGGTAATAAACTCTAAACCCTAACCCTCTGCACGTCAGATCGGCTTCCCACACAGGCAATTAAGCTTTGGAGTATAGAGTGTAGAGTAAGGTGTGAAGTGCGAGGCTTAACGTAAACCTTGAACCCTGAACCCTGAACCCTGACCC